TGTCCCCGCCGCCGTCCAGCCCCAGTGTCCCCGCCGCCGTCCAGCCCCACTGTCCCCGCCGCCGTCCAGCCCCACTGTCCCCGCCGCCGTCCAGCCCCACTGTGTCCACCATCCAGCCCCAGTGTCCCCGCTGCCATCCAGTCCCAGTGTCCCCACCGCCATCCAGCCCCAGTGTCCCCACCATCTAGCCCCAGTGTCCCCGTCATCTAGCCCTAGTGTCCCCACCATCCAGTTCCAATGTCCCCGCCGCCATCCACCCCCAGTGTCCCGGCCGCCATCCAGTCCCACTGTCCCCGCCGCCATCCAGTCCCAGTGTCCCCGTCACCATCCAGCCCCAATGTCCCCACCGCCATCTAGTCCCACTGTCCCCGCTGCCAACTTCTCAGGAGAGAAACGACCAAGTACTTCCAGAAACAAGAACCACATGGCCATGGTGATGCAGGGACAGAGGCACAGGGGCAAGGATGAAGCGTGATCCGTCCCGGCTGATGGGGTGCCCCCTTTTGTCCTGCACAGTCTCCAATGACATCGAACCCTGAGTTCAGCTGAGAAGTGACTGAAACTCCTGATGCCTCACGCCAGGCCAGACACCCGCCAAGCCCACCAGCCTGAGGGCAGAGGCTCCGTTCTCACCCGTGAGCAGCCAAGTTGGTCGTCACCAGCACCGTCTTCACCTCCTCCACGCCGCTGCCGTCCACTGCGGTGTCAGGTGTTGTCACCACCACCACCTCCTCCATGTGGACACTCACATCCGGGGTCGCCATGGCTCCACTGAGGAGGATGCCCAGAACTAAGTGTCACTCCCCAGGGTCCGAAGTCCTGGAGGAGACAAGGCAGGGTACAGGTCACAGATGGTCCCGCGTCTGCACAAGAGCTCGCAGCATACATGTCTCCAAGTATCACCAAAGATCCATCTTTCAGTCCCAGAATTTTTGACCGAAATGACAGCAAGAGACGGGCTATTCCTAGGCTGCTCGTTCTGGCGAGGACGCAGTGAGCACATCCTGCCGGTCTTGTTTGCTGAGAGAGTTGAGTGCCCCGAGCAGGGCACACAGCCTGCCACCCGTGGCCACAGCAGGGGCGGGAAGGAGGCAGAACTGCATGAGACCCAGGGGGTGAGCCTCCCGGTTGTCACCTGTCCCTGTCCCCTGGCCGGAACACAGAAGCAGCCCACGTCCCCGAGCTGTGCACAGCTGGTACTTACAGACAAGCCTTGTCTCTAGTCTGGGGAAATAGACAAAAACCCACAAAGCCACCCTGGAAGTGTCTGGAAGTTTCTTATCAAATTAAATATACTCTTACCACGTGACCCAACAACCCCACTCCTGACTATTTACCTGAGAGAAATGAAAACACATTTACTCAAAAAAACCTGCACACACATTTTTATGGCAGCTTTATTCCTAATCATCAGGAACTAGAAACCATCCAAATGACCTGCAGGGGATGAGAGGACAAACTCTGGCCCACCCATACAACAGAACAGACTCGGAGAGGAAAAAGCAAACCTGGAGGAACCTCTGAAGAACTCTGCTGAGTGGGTGCTGCACTGCGGGTCCATTTACATGACATGAAGGGGAAAATCAGGGGCTGCCAGGGGCTGGGGACGAGGACGTGCACATCAAAGGGCAGCACAGGGGAGGCGGGGACGGAGCTGTTGTGTGTTCTGACCGTGGGGGTGGATACGCGTACATGTGTTAGACTCACAGGACTGCACACCAAAAAAATAAAGTTTATTTTACCTTTCACAAATCTTTTTAGAAAACCAAATTGGAACACACATACAAAATGCTGTTGCGCCCTCACGTAGAGACCAATTGGTTTTCTGATAAGGGCACCACGACCGTTCAGTGAGGAATAGGAAGTCTTTTCAACAAATGATGCTGGGAAACTGGACACCCACACGCAAAACAATAAAGCTGGGTCACCTCACACCATATACGAAAATCAACCCAAAACAGATCATCAACGACCTAAACATAAAAGCTAAAACTACAAAACACTCAGAAGAAAACACAGGGGAAATCTTCAAGACATTAGATTTGGCAGTAGTTTGCTGTCGCACAGAAAACACAAGAACAACAACAAAATAGATGAATTAGACTCCATCAGAATTAAAGACCATTGTGCATAAAAGGGCACTCTCAGTAGAGTGAAAACGGAGCCTAGGAAAGGGGAGAAAATATTTGCAAAGCATATCTGATAGGGGTTTAACATCCAGAATATAAAAAGAACTATAAGGGCCGGCCGAGTGGCACGTTGGTTAAGAACTGGCTTGAGACGCCAGAGGGCCCTGGTTTGGATCCCACATGAGGGCCAGTGACGCTGCCCTCCACAGCTAAGATGCTGAACAACAGCTCGACCTGGAGCTGGGCTGCTGTGAGTCGCTGGCGCCGGCATAGGCTGCAGTGGGTTGCCATGAGCTACGTGAGTGGCCAACCAATGACCGGCAACCGATTGCCTCACCCGGGAAGAGCACAATGATATTACCAACGTGGGCAAGTGAAGCGACGTCCTCCACAACTAGGCTGAAGAACCAAAGGACAGCTACTTATCTGTTCCCCTTCCGATTCCCCGATTCCCCCAATTCCCCAGAGCTGTTTCCCTCCCCCAATTCCCCAATAAAATCTTAAAATAAATAAATAAAAAGAACTAGAACAACAACAACAAAAAACCCTATTTAACAAACACATGGGCGAAGAGCTTAGAATAGACATTTCTCCAAAGAAAACATACAAGCAGCCAACAAGCCCACAAAAAGGAGCTCAGCATCACGGATCATCAGGGAAATGCAGACCAAAACCACAGTAAGATGTCACCTCACAGCCAGCAAGAGGGTTCTGTTCATAAAGGAACAGAAACCAGGAAAGCAGTGCTGTCGAGGATGTGGGGAAGCTGCAGCTCTGAGCATGGCTGGGAGCCAAGTCAACGGCGCGGCCGCGTGGAGAGCAGGCAGGGCTCCTCAGAACGTTCAGCACAGAACTGCCATACGACCCAGCAATGCCACTTGTAGGCACATGCGGCCCAAAGCGAAAGTGGGGACTGACTAACACAGATACTCGGCAGCACATTCAAACAGACAAAAGGAGGGAACCACCCAGGGGCCCGCCAGCAGATGAGTTGGTCAAAGTGAGGCCCACACATACAACGGGATGGTATTCAGCTTTAAAAAGAACTGAAATTCTGACACATGTGACAGCATGGGTGAGCCTTGAAAATATCACACTAAGTGAAAGAGGCCAGACACAAAGGACAGATATTGGATGATTCCACTTGTATGAACAATATGAATAAGAACAGTCAAAGTCTACAGGCAGAAAGTAGGGTAGAGGCTCCCAGGGCGGGGGGCGGGGGAAGTCAGTGTTTGAAGGGGGCAGTGTGTCCGTCTGGGAAGATGAAGAAGCTCTGAGGACGAGGGTGGTGATGGCTGCACAGCAATGCGAACGTGCTGAACGCACACTTAAAAATGGGTAAGAAGGTAAATTCTACGGTGTGTCTATTTTGCCACACTAAAAAACAACTTTTTAATGCAATAAGAACAGAATGACTTAGAACTAGATACAGGCTACAAAGTAGAGAATATAAAAACTCACTGAAAAAGAAACATTTTCAGAACTTCACTTTTATCATACTTCTCAACGTGCAAATGACGTCGCCTGCCCAGCTCTGAGGCAAACAATGCGCTGTCCAGCGGACCACCTGGCCCAGCACGCGTGAGCGCCCGCCTGCCCGCCCAGCGGTGGAAGCGACTGCACTCAGCCAGGGGGAAGCTCTGCAGGAGGGACCCCCCACTCTCCTCTGAGCTCCCAGCACACTCACAGTAATGAGCCTTCCCGCCAGAATTCACTAGCCCACATTCAACACCCTCGCAAAGCTTGGCCTCCAGGGCTCAGGTTTTTGCTGCTCACGTTCCATCCATTGGGTTGTTGGAACAGTCACGACGCATTTTTGCAACGAAAACCATAGAAAAATACAGCATGACTTTTCTGACAACCCAATAATTTATCTAACAATTTTGTGAACATCTGTTGGAGGAGAGCAAAAGGTCCTCTGGCCTACCCTACTTTCTATAGTCTTGAGACTGAGCAGGACCTGTGGGCTCCCCTCCTTCCTAACTAGAAATGGGTCCCCAGACAACTCCACGAGAAACGGCCACAGGCAAGACAAACCAGAGAAAAGAAGAGCCCTGCAGTCCCTGGCCACCCATTGAAAATGACGGCACTCTCTTATCATTTACCCTTGACCGAGAAATGCAAGGTATCTAGAAATGTAGGTGATCTGAAGAGGGGTATGGTGGTTAACTACTGCCAAGAAAACACGCCTTCTCAACGAAAAAGCAAGGACAACTGAGGAAACGACTGCGTGTTCTCCGGTCTCCCTATGGAGAACAGTGTTTGTTAGTGTGCGGTCAGCCCTCAGATTCAGATAGGGCTTTCTGTCTTCTGCAAAATCACAGTATTTTCCTGTGGACGAAAAAGGGGCTGTAGGAAAGAAAGCTCGGAGGGGAGCTGGTCAGAAATCCCTCGCTGCTGTCGGGTCATGGTGGGTGGTCGCCAGAACTAGGACTTTCCGTCAAGTCTCACCTTTGCAGTAAGCAGCCCTGTCCACTGCCTCTGTGCATCTAGGTTCCCACGCCTTTGAAATGCCCTGTCAGACCTTCCTTCTAAAGCACAGTAATCTTAACTCAGTAATCCCATCCCCCCTTGCTTTCTCTCACCCCCACGTCATCTTCCTCATGATCCCTCCTTAATTCCAAACGCATAAAAGAAGCTGCAAACTGTCATTTATGGGAAACATTTGTCGCAGTCTGATGAGATCTTGCTTCCAGGTGTATCCTGTTTGGCTCAAATAATTACAAAAATTCTCAACAGGTTTGGACATTCTTATTTTGACACGGTAATAAAAATACCACTAGAAACACAGCAGAGGTCATACACGTGGCCCAAAAGCATAATTTCTTGGATCCTCACTGTGTTTCCACATCTTTAATTAGTTGCTGACTTTTTCAAAGTTTACAAGGTTCACATAAAGCAATTTCAGATTTCCAGCCTCTCTTGAAAAATGTCAGAAGAGACCATCCCTGGAGGTGGGCCCTCTTGTCCTGCCTTCTGCGTCCCCGCGGGCGGGGGGCACAAATACACCAGCTCCCGTCTCAACTACGCCCCCCGAGTCATACGCAGCGAGGCAGCACCAGGCACCTGTGCTGTCCCCAACCCACAGGATTCTGTCTGGTGGCTCTGAAGACATTTGAACGGCCTCCTTCCCAGTTCAGGCCTGAAATGACTTATTTTAAGGCCTAGGTTTGAAAGTAGTTTTATAAGTGTCCTATATTAATGGAACTTGTATACATACACATATATACGTAAATATATGGATACAAATTCCTCTCCATCCAGTGTGTCTTCCCACGATTTTTAAGATACTTCCCATGAAGAAATAGTATCTGAACCAGCAGCCTGCCTAATCTATCTTGTTGTAGTTGCTTTTACCATTAATAAGACTGACCAAGTTTCTATACTGTTGGTGGCCCTGTCAACAGGTGCAGCCACTGTGTAAAACAGTAATGGCGGTCCTCAAAAGACTAAAATAGAACCACCATGGGACCCAGGGTTCCACTTCTGGGTGTTCATCCAGAGCAAATGACATCAGGGTCCGAGACATCTGCACCCCACGTTCAATGCGACGTTCTTCACAACAGCCAACATATGGAAGCAGTGAAGTGGCCATTGATGGGCGAATGGATAAAAACGTGGTGTACACACACCAAGGAATGTCACTTTTATAAAAGGCAAGTTTGCCACGTGTGACACGGATGAACCTAGAGGCCACCACGCTGAAGGAAGCCAGACACAGGGCAAATCCACGACAGCACGCCTATGGGGGTCTCACACACTGAAGCTCAGAGCAGAGTGGCCCGGGGTGGGGGTGCCGTGTGACGATGACAGCAGTGCCTACCGGTCCCAGCAGTGTCCTATTCTGAAAAGGTGGCAACAGGGTTGGCATCGCCAAATAATACACAAGGGGTGGGGCGACATCTGAAGAGGACGGACACCACTGCTGCCTAGGCTGTGGGGACGGCTTCCCAGGTGTACGCTTATCTCCAAACTCAAGTTGTGTCAGTTACATACAGCTTTCCATATGTCGAAGAAGAAGGAAAAAAAGACTGAAGTAATGAAAACAAAGTTGAAACGTTAGGGAAAAAAGCGAACTTGGTTCAGTGAAAAGCCAATCAGCTGAATGGATTATAAAGTTAACCAGGTGGGGACCAGGTCATCACTAGCAAAGGGCCCGTACGGAGGCAGCTCCTACCCGAGTCCGTGTGGCTACGTTTCCCACCAGTGGGTCCCACTCCGGACGCGCCCACAACGGGGGCCGCATGGTCGCGGCTCCCCCCAGGGCTCCCCCCGCCCCCAGGCCCGCGTGGACATGGTTCCCGCCGGGCCCGCGCGCCCACACCCGAAGCCGCGTGGACACGGCTACCCCCGGGGCCCGCGTGGACATGGCTGCCACCCTCTCCCGAGCCCTCGCGGCCCGCGCCCACACGCGGGGCCGCCCCCAGCCCCCGCCCGCCGCCTTCCGGCAAGATGGAGGCGTGCGCCGCCGCCGACGCCGCCTGACGCGGGCCCGTGACGCCCGTGACGCCCGCCGCGCGCCGCCGCCCCT